GTGACCCGCCGCGCCGCGCGCATTCCCATACAGCCGGCCGAATATTTTCCGTGTTCCTAGGTAATAGTTATAAATTTATAATCATATTTTATTTCTTCAAAACTAGAAAAAATATTAGAAATCAGGAACTTAATGAAAATAAAATTTTGAAACGTCAATATTTCTAGAAAAATAAACTCTACAAAATGGACATCTTTAATTTTTTTGGAAATAATTAAATAAAAAAATATATTTCTTAAATTTTTTACAAAAACATTAAAATAAATTTAAAAATGAAGTAATTGTAGTTCATACTCCTATGAATCTTATTACAAAACCAGAATTTTGATATCTCSATTATTTCGTAAGATATCGCAATGGGTAAATCCTCGCGGGACACCCTGTATGTGTATATTGATTTTTTGAATTTTGAACACAAATTTCAGTATAACAGATTATAAAGTTGAGAAGATAATAATTTTTTTATATATTTTAATGTTTGTATATATAGGTATTAGGTATTAGGTACGTATAGCATATAGTATATACGACCAGTATAGACGTATAGTAGTATACACTAAACAATAAATAATGATATATTTCAGGGATTGTCAATTATAGTTTCCAAGAGGGTGTGAATGATTTGAAAAATTATTTTTTAAGTTCCAGAAAAGTAAATTCTAAATATATAATTGTTAGGTTTATTTATTTTTATTTMAAACACAATTTAGAATGTACAATTAATTAAATATTAAATAAATATTATAGTAAAACTTAATGCGTTCTTCATAAATAAATTATCTTAATTTTTTTATATAATTAGAATTATTAAACATATTATTTTATATATTAATGGTCAGAGAAATGTTATCTCTTCTCGTCCTAACTCTTAGGTAAGTTTTTTAATATTTGGTATTTTTATAACTGATATTTATAGTACATTCTGGGTGGTATCTTATCTTGAACGATATTGAATAAAAAAGGATATTTTTTGATAACGACATTTCACATATAATATTTGTGGAGCCAACAAATGGTTGTTAATTTGATGTCTAATTTTTATAGTTGTTAACTTGCTTATTCCCTCACAGTTTTATATATCTTTAAAGAAATATCTAATTACAAGTCAATATTCTCCATTTAATGCGTAGATGTTAGATTTAAACATTTTACATCTTTACATCAGTACATTCTTCCGTTGGAGAAACTATTCATGAGTATTTTTATACCATACATTTTAAACCTTGCTGTGAATTATTTCCAAACATTTTACAAAACACAACGCAGTTTATTTCGAATTCTGATTTATTTTCAAGTACTGTTGAAAAATGAATAAATTCTTTTACCAATATCTCAAGCTCTTGGTGAAAAGCTGACACACATTTTATCAATTTTATATATCAACAAAACTTTGGTCGGAAACAATAGTTACATGCACATTTTTAAATAATTAGCATCATATTACTTACACGAAAATACGAAATGCTCAAATGCTTTATACATACTTAGTTTTATTATTAGATTCAGAAATCTAGTTTCAATAATGTCTCATAGTATAAAATTATATACTGTACCTAGTTATAACGYAGTATATTTTTGGAGCTAAGATTGTGATAAAATGTTAATCTTGTATAATATTACAAAAGAATAGTGGTATCGGGGATTACTGAAGAGCATCAGCTTATATAGGCAACAAATAAATTTAAAAAATTCGAGTCGAGGTAGACTTGTCGGCGTTGGGGTTAGAGTACGAGGACGAACTGGGTGAGAAGGTGAATGGGGGGGGACGTGGATGAATAGGAGGAGCTTCGTCGAGGACGCAAAACAGACAGCGCGTTATCGTACGCCGCCACCGTCCGGTATGAATGAGCAGTATACAAACTAACCGTTTTATACGCGAGCCAACGTGTCGCCGACTCAGTGCAAGGCATGCGATTAACATGGTCACACAAACGGTACTGTCGTCAACGTGCGCTGCAGCATTCGACGACGAATTCGTCAGCGGCGAATATTACTTCGGCACGTGTGTTCCGCACAAGGTAACGTATATATTTCATACACTCATTTATTTCATGCACCTGGTTATATAATATATATGACTGACTGGAATTCAATACATACCATTGAATTATTTGTCCATCATGGTTTTATAAAATGCCTTTTTTWAAATTTAAAAATTGGTGCAATTTCAGTAGGTAGGTACACTATCGTCTGGTCAGATAAAGTGAGCGGACGAATCGTTTAATCAATATAACACATCATGATTACCTAATATTGTGCGATTGAAATTTTGATCTATTTTCTACAGTACATTGTTGTTTTGTCGTTATCATTTTATACACGCGGCTATGTGAGTAGGTCTTCTAAATATTACGATCCTACCAATATTATTTTTATTTCAATAAAGTGACGCTTTTATCGATTTCAAGAAATTATTATTAACTGTCCACTGATGTAACAATAATGTCTATAAATATTATTTTTTACCGATTTCATACAAACTGTAATTCATAAACGGCCAGTGCACGACGCATGTTTAAAAAAACATTAGTTTGTTAAACACAGATCAGGTATAAATATGCAGTTGGTGTTATTTATTAAATCTAGAGTTCTAATATATGGCGTATATGTATAATTTTCAATTAAAATTCAAAGTTTATGTTTTAATTTAGTTTTGAATAAATGTTTTTGTTTAAATATCGTATCTTATGAATGCGAATTTGTACCGATTTATTCAATGTATATAGTACCTATATGCATAGGTATAATATGAACGATTAGCATAAATTTGTATGCACGAACGAGCCAATGCGTCGTTTTTATTTTGGACGATTTAACTAGTGTGATAAATTAATATATCTACAATTAAAATCAGACCATTTTATTTTTAGTTATAGCGTGATCGACGCTTGACAGTTTTTTCAGTATCATGATTTATTTCCTTATCGCAAAAATATTTTATGGTTATAAAATCAGATTTAAAATTTAGAATCTTACATTTAATCACAATTTGGTGATTAATAGTTATTACTTATTATTAAGTACCTAACATTATTGTTATTTTTTAATTTTAATTTTTGGAATATTTAATATCACATCGATTTATATGAAACAAGTATAAAATGCAACACGTTGTGCAATACTAAATACAGTACTTATATAAAAGCATAATATGACAACAAATTTAAGTCGAAATTCTTAAATATTTCAATATGTCGTTTATTTAGGTTAGCTTAAATTAAGTATCAAATTAGTGAATATAGAAGTGGATTTAAAAATTAAAAGTTGTAAAAATGTAATAAAGAACTTTTAATATGGTAGAAKTGATGCGCGATTAGAAATATCTAGAAAAATTATTTGMAATACATATGGTGAATGATACATGTAGCAAATGATTTATTTTTAATATAAAAATCATATTGTCACTTTGCATATCATTATTTAATTTAAACTACATTGAAGACTAAAATATTTAAATTTATTGTAATATAATTATAAACTGAAATTGTTTTATAGATAGTTTTGTACAACACTACAACCGTTGTAAATTTCAATTTATTTTAATAATTATAACTGAAATATTTGTAGACAATATAGTACACTCTTAATATAAACTAATATTTTGTTTGAGTACAATTATATTATTATTTAATTTCATTGCGATCAATGATTTTTAAATTTTAAACTAATATTTTTTGTTGTTTATCATAATAATTATTAACATTTTGGAATGAAGTAATATAAGTTCTTCAGTTATTGTAATTTAATTTGTTGAAGGTAAAAAAATGAATAATAAATGTATAATTGTGCAATTGTACAATGAAAGCAAATAATATATGTACTCGTATTTATGATTTTATAGTATTATTTGTACATAATTTCGAAGTTTCCTGTTTATCAAAATATTTTTATATTTATGATTGTTCAATTTTATTCGAATAATTAATAATGAATATATATAAATAAATCTTGTAGGGATGCTTATATGTACACTCAGGGAGTAGGCGTATATGTTGTTGCTCACTGTATTTTTTTTATTGTTATGAAAAAATGTTAATTTTGATGAAGTACTTGTGAAATTTATTTATTTTTATAAGAAAATTAATTTTTTTATTTATTATAATTCTATTTTATTAAATGCTATATAATATTTAAAAAAATTTGTTCAGTGTTTATTTTGTCTAAAACTTTTAGTAGTCGAAACATAGTATTTGGTTAATTACTACGTACAAAGCACGACTGATCAAAGTTTAGTATATTACGTTCTTTACGTATAATAGTCCATATAATTTATGAAACATGACTACATTTAAACAAAAACAAATGGTTATAGGTAAAAGGTAAAACATCATTAATTAAGAAATGAATATTGAATGATTTACCTAAAGGATTTAGATTTTAGATTTAAATATATTCATAACATTTACCTTAAATAATAAAACTTGTCCTCAAATTTCAATGAACAACATTCYAATCCCTAAATACCTTGGTCTTACCCTTGACACTAAACTAACCTGGAATCTTCACATAGTTGATAAACGAAAGGCTCTTAATTCCCGTCTACACCTCCTAGGACCACTATTGAGATCTAAAATGAACATTGACACCAAATTACTAATTTATAAGTCTCTACTCAGGCCGCTATGGACATACGGCATCCAATTATGGGGAGCCGCAAAACCCTCCAACAMCAGATCAATACAAGCSYTCCAGTYCATCTGTCTCYGTMTAGTTTCTTCTGMTCCATGGTACATAACAAACTCCAAHCTTCACAAAGACTTAAAAATAYTAACCCTAAATCAAATCTCTAAAACATACTACATCAGATTTCATAATAAACTCCAATCACACACTAATCCACGAATCAAAAAATTATCATCTAAAACTCTACCCGACAACCCTCGACGGAGACTAAAAAGAAATTGGTGTAGGAATCTTTTACATTAATAATCATTAGTCAATAATTAACGCACGTGCTGGGTGCTATCAATGGATAACTTCCCAATCTTAATATTCGCCGTCATTTTATATTCTCTTCTTTTTTTTATCAAATCTAATTATTGTACAACAATTTGTATAGATTGTAGATGTATTTTAAATAAAAAAAAAAATAAATAAAAAGATTTAAATATTCTTTAAATGTTGTGAAGTAATGTACTATTGTGCTTGTATTGCCTATTCATGACGCCGTCATACAACATTGAAAATATAAAATTCGTCAGTTACTGGATATTCACGCAGACTATTGTATAGTGGTGTATTATTAATCATTATTCAATGTATATAAATAATAATTCAAAATATGATTTTAACGAGAGTTTGATTCAAAACAAGRTATATTATTTAATTTGAAGTTGCTCAAAATCATATGCAAAAATAATTAAAACAATCGAAATTAATTTATATACATTAGTTATACAAACATATGTATATTTGATACAATGTTGACGGTATAAATCAAAATTATAACAAGATTGGTTGGTATTTAAAAACTATTTTAATTTTAGATTTACTGTCTTTTGTAATTCAGTATGTGTGGATATTTTATGATCTATAGATCTTTAAACTTCAAAATATGTTTTATATGACGTGTTGTTTTGGGGTTTTGATTAAAAAATAATTTCTAAAATTTTCAAGTTAATAATTGTCTAAAATAATAAAAAATAATTTGAATAATAATATAATTTTATCAAAATACACGTTATTTCCTCAATAATTAAAAAAAAAAAACAAATATAATTGCATGTTTTTAATACTCATTATGTTCATTTTATCAAAAAATATTATATTTAGAATAGATATAAATTTCAATAGAAACATCGCAATAAGTAGGTTCATTGAAAAAATAAATGATAGTATATATAGATTTGATAAATCAATTAAAAATACAATTGCATAATATAGGTGATATAATATACTTGTACATTATACCTAATTTATATTACACGAGACGTGACTATAATAAACTATGTTGTTATTTAAACTTTTGCACACAATAGTAGATATTATTTTATTAATGAGCTGCACAGTGTATAATCCTATATTATGTATGTATAGACTATAGAATATTGAAGCAAGATAGTTAAAATGTAGAATATGATTTTTTACAGTTCACATTAAAAAAAAATACAATTTGTAATAGTAATAATTAGGATAGATTTAATTTATAATTATAGAAACATTTGTTACGAAGGAAAGACCTTCCTTTAATAACCTAGGCACATATTTTTAAAATGAACCCATATCCAAGGATTTTAAAAGACAAACATGATAAAAAAATAATAAGTAATTAAATTGATTAATTATGCACCGATCGTAAGGACACAAAATGTTGTAACATAACTTCGCAAGTACCAAATTTTATAAAAAAAGTTGTATTAAGTTTACCAATTTTTTAAAACATTTCACAACTTGAGTTCAATTTTTGTTTTCATATATCAACATTTTTAATTATAAAATATCCTACGGAATTCTTTATGTAGTACCTACTTTAAGCTTTAGTCAATAATGGATGGATGAATTAAAAATATTTACAACATATTATTTTCTACAATTACTACCATTTTATGAATGAAACAATTTTTCATCTTGCTATACGATATCTCGATATACGAGTATACATGACGGACAAGATTTGGATGGCACTTGACGCATATATTACTCTTAATTGCAGTTTACCCATTTATTTACCACTGATAAAATATTAATAATAATTAGTTATTTAAAACACCATGCACGAAAATTGAATAATGCCTTATCCAATGAGATTTTTCGAAAATGACAATGGCACACGTTTAAATCACGGGGTTTTAAAATCGTCGGAAGCAGCCGGTGTAATCGGTGTGTAATAAGACGGTGAGAGTAGGTAGGTAGGTAAATACGTATTATATGGGCATACATAATGATTACGTCATGATAATATGCGCGTTATGATAATAATAATAATAATAATAATAATAATAATAATATACCGTCTTATATCCGTGCAAGCGAAGCTGCGGAAAGAAAACAATAAAATAATTTCGAAAAGCAATTAACC